GCCGCCGACGCCGGTGCCGGCGGCGGTGGCCAGGGACACGGCGAGGGTGCCCGCGGCGACGAGGGCCGCCGCCAGCACGGCGGCGTAGACGCCGAGGGCGGCGACCGGGCGCCTCTCCACGGCGTCCGCGAGGACGGCCGTCGGCATCGGGAACAGCCGGCGGCGCGCCCGTGCCAGCATCTCGTAAAGCTCCTCGTCCTCCGAGTACGCCTGCGCGGGGAGAAAACGCGCGCGCAAGTCCGTCGTCGAGAGCACCATAGCAAGGGATGTGGTGGGTCAAGAGTGGGAATGCAGCATGGGTTTGGGTTTGGAACCAGGGTGGAGTGGGGTACGGTTGCGGGTGGCTGTTCGTTGGGATTATGGGGGTCTGTGGGCGGATGGCAGCGGATCAAGGACACCGTCGTGGACTGCTCCAGCTTCGCTTCAGCTTCGTCCACAAGCGACAAGCTGCGCAAGCCTTCGGATGTATCACTGCACGCCACCGCCTCACCCCACCACACAGGCAGACCCGGGTGGGCACACCTCCCCCGCCCCCTTGGTTCACCGTGCTCACACCTTTGCTGCTCCCTTCCACCAGTTTCGCATCGGCGGCGGACAGGCAATCGCTTGCTCTGATACATAGCAACGGCGACCTGGGCTCGACAGAGGAAAGCGATACAACAAAACACGCACACGAACTTCCGATGCACCACAGAACACCGCTCGAGAGGGGGAGTCGAGAGGAGATCGGATGTTGCTTGCTTCCTCTTTCTGGAGAGGGATGCGTCATCCAACCGCAAAAAACGAATACGGCAAGCAAGCAACCCCCGATACCTCCCCCCCCCTCGGCCGTGCCCCGGCCCGTCACCATCATCTAAAGCGGACCGCCTTCGCGAGAAGCTAAGGACCGCCTTCGCGAAGAAGCTAATTTCACGGGGAAATACAACAGGGAGGAGATACGCAGGCCCAACAACCCTATAACCCAACTTCCCCGATTGCATGCCGTATTCAACATGTTTCCTTGATCGCAAAAACCTGCCAAGGGTTATTATCTCAAGCGCACCTGGGCAGCGTTGCCCTCCGTATCGCGTGCCTCGACGTCCGCGCCGTAGTCCAGCAGTAGGCGGACGACGGGCTTGTTGCCCCCCCAAGCCGCGAAGTGGAGCGGGGTGGAGTTTCCTCCCCCCCTCGAGCAGACGTTGGCCCCGCCGAGGATGAGAGCGCGCGCTACGTCCGCGTGGCCGTAGAAGGCGGCGTAGTGTAGCGCCGTCCGACTGTGGTGTTGGGAGTGTGGGGGGGGTGTTAAGGGAGGTAGGGAGAAGAGGGAGAGAGAGACAGAGAGATAGAGAGACAGACACAGAGAGAGACAGACAGAGAGAGAGACAGACACAGAGAGAGACAGACAGACAGAGAGAGACAGACAGAGAGAGACAGACAGAGAGATAGAGAAGGAGCAAAAGCTCAGCTGCGCATCCAAATAAAACAGCTCACAACGAACAACCACGGCAGCCCCCCACGCAATTGGGACACGCACGTCACGTGGTGCGTGAGATCGTCGGATTCAGCCAAGACAAACGCAGTCGCGCTTCCCCCCCCCTCCCCCCCCCGCCGGCAGAAGCAAGGCATGCCGCAAAAGATGCGTTCTTGTTGTGAAGCTGCAGGTGGATAGATCACGTCAAGCAAAACAAACTGCCGAAAGGGTATCTGGTCGGATTTGGCGACGCCTCCGTCGCCAACTTTGTGCATCAGCGTCTGGCAAATAAAAACGGTGAAACCTCCACTGACACTGGTAGCGTCGTGCGCGATTGCTTACATAAATCTTGTTCCGCGAAGCGAAACGTCTAGACTACATACCCTCGATGGCCACGCGTTCATGCCTGCCGGGGACAGGTGCTGACATGCTTAGATTAGAAGCTGCGACCCACGCCACCTTCGTTCTTGCTGGTTCCTGATGAAGGGGTGCCTACACTCTGTCAAATAATCCCCACCCTATTTTTATCCTTTTCCGACACTCCTGAGCCCCACGCCAGTCCTCCCCCCCCGCCCCCGCCCCCGCCGCAAAGCCAAGCTCTCCTGGAACGGCCGACTCAATGCGTGGTGCAGGGTATTTTTCCGTGTCACCACTCCGGTCGCCCCGGTGGTCTCAGTAGGGTAACCCTTAACCTTGTAACACTACTACGATAATGGTACTAGCAGCACGTGTGGGCTCGCACATGTGTCGGGAGTGAGCAAATTGCAGTTCTGCTGCTGGTGAAGGCCATCAATTCATGAGTACCCCAGCAGTTGAAAGGGGACTGCTTTTTTTCCCCTTCTCGTGTACAAAAAACAAGGGCAAGCACACCGCGCCGTCGAAGGTGGGACCACAAAAACACAAAAGCGTCCCGTTTTGTACTATACCTTCCCTCCTGTGTGACCCCGCTGATAAGGTCACACTAAGCATTTACTGAAGAGTGTATGTAAACTGGCTGGCACGAGAATATCGATGGGACGAACACACACCAACAAACCGCCCCACCGTTCCCCACGTCCACGCACGAAGCAACAGAAGGTGGCCTGGCGCCCGCCTACAGGAACCCTCTGTAAAACTCACCCGCAAAAGCTCTGAGCCTCGAGGTTGCCCCCGTCCTTGATGAACCGAGAGATTGCGGCAAGGTCTCCGACCACGCTAGCCTTGTGCAGCTGGTGAACCCTCGCCGATATCGCCGATACCCCCGCCGCCGATCTACTGCTGTTGTTGCCAGCACTGTTGTTGTTGATACCCCCTGCTGCTGCTGCTGCTGCCACCCCTGTTTCTCCTGCTGCGGCGGCTGTCGCCGCCACTTGACCGGCTGCTGCTCCTTCCGCATCGCCGCCGTCGATCGCCGTGGTGCCGCCGCCGCCGCCCCTCCTCGTCCGGCTGGGTGGTGATGCCACCGCCACAGCCGCCGCCGCTGTGCCCGCTCTCACCCCCGCTCCCGCCCCGCCGGGAACAGCAGCGGAAGAAGCACCCCCGCTGTTGGCGATGTCGCCATCCCCGTTGGCCTCGCCACCGAAATCGGAATCCTCTTCTGCTCCTTCGGTGGCGGCAGCGGTGGTGGCAGCCGCCACCGCAACCGCTGCCGCTGTGGTTCGCGTGCTGCTGCTGCTGCTGCCGCTGCTGTAGATGCCTCGCCTCCGGAGGGCACCACCCGACCGAGGGACAGCAGCAGCGTCAGTCGGAGAATCTTCGACGACTAGGCTGGTAGTAGTGGTGACAGGAGAGCGTCGCATCCCCAGGGTACCACCAGAAAAACGACGGGCGACACCACCAGTAGTCGGAGCATCTTCGATAGGGCTAACGGTAGCGCTGGTGGGGCGCCTCCTCCTGTGGGCTCCACCGGGCCGGCGGACAGCCACAGCAGCAGCAGCAGCATCGGTCGGAGCATCTTCCACGGGGCTAGCAGCAGTGGGAAAACCGCTGTTGGTGGCGGTGTTGTGTTCTACGGCACCACTTCTTGCTGTCGGGTGTAGGGCAGACTCTGTGTCACTGCCGGCGTCGTCATCGTCGCCATCGTCGTCGGTGATGCTTCCCGTCATCATGCCGCCGCCGCCGACACCCGCCGCCGCCGCCGCCGCCCTCGCTTCGCCCACCCGACGGGTCCAACCATCGCTCGCGGCGGCCAAGGCACTACTACTACTACTGCCGCCGGATCCGGCGGTAGCGGCGGCGGCGTTGGCGGCGGCGGCGGCATCGTTGGCGGCGGTGACGGTGGCCACTGCCGGAAGAAGAGCGGGCGGGTGAGATTCCACGCCCACCCCTGGCCGCAGCAAGGCTGTAGTGCTCCTCCTCATGGACCTGGCGTCGAGCAGCCTCGCGTGACGCCTGCGGGCGGCGGCGTTGTTGTGGGCGATAGCCAGGCGCGTGGCGATCCTGGTGCTCATGGCGGAGTCGCTGCTGTCGGCGACGTGGCTGGGAGAACCGAACGCGGGGGGAGCAGCAGCAGCAGGAGGAGGAGGAGGAGCAGGAGGAGACTCGGGCGAGCCCCGAGGGGGCTCGGCGACGGGCCGCGGCTGCGGAGGACTGCTGGTGGCGGTTCGGTCTACTACTACGGCGGCGGCGGCAGCAGCAGTGGCACGTGCAACAGCCAGTTCATCATCGCCGCCGCCGCTTTGAACGGGGGTTCTGGGTTCTTCCGTGTAGATGGTGCCGACGCCGCCGCCGCCACCTTCGCCTACTGCCAAGGGCTCCTCCTCCTCCTCCTCCTCCTCCGGCCGGCAGGCAGAAGAAGATGCACGGGAGGAGTCCCGCCGCCTTACGGGCATGATGGATGGGTGACTCTCGAGTTCCGTTTTCGGCGGCCCGCCCGCCCTGCTCTCCCGCTCTCAAACTTTCGGATCTCTCTGCCAAAGAGAGAGGGACGACGATCATGTACACACGACACCCGCGTGAGAGGAAGGGACCAATAGAGCAGCGCGGAGAATCAAGAGGATTTCGGCGGCAGCAGGGAGGGAACCAGCCAGCCGCACGTTCAAACGCGTGCGCCTGTGCGGTGGGCGCGTCATACATACGGGACAGCACACAAACCAAACAAGCCGAGGGTTGGCAAAAAACAAGCTCCGCTCCGAAATGTAAGGAGTCCCGATACTTTAGGCTCCAACTTTCGTGCCGTGACGACACTCGGTCAGGCCCCACCAGCCCTCAACGGAGACAACAAGACCATCACCATCACACACACTGATCCCCCTCCTGGGGAAGCTGCTAGGAGCCGCGTAGGAGAAGGGCTAACCGAACCGACCGTGTGATCATACACAGCAGTCGTGACTATGCATAGGCACTACCATATGCATATGACGATGACCCGAAAAACTCAGTGAAACGATAAATACTCCGATCCCCCTCGCCAAGCTCCGTTTCACCAAATGTGTATACTAGAGACACACACACCTGCTGTTTGTCGCGGCACGGTAGAGACCCTTGGGATGATGGCGAACCGCGCGACGACGAGTGCAGCGGGCGCTCCCGCCCTGCGACAGCCGATGAGTGCGAGAGAGAAAGAGGGTAGAGAGAGAGAGAGACTGGGGATACATTTCAGTTCATCATGGAGCTCGAGGACCCCCAACTAGCGAGGGCCCGCAGAATCGCGCGTGTACCTTCTTGCGCTGCGGAGCTCCTACCGCCGGAGCTTGACATATGACGTACGGATCGCTACACATGCACAAGCTCTTCCCCACGTGACAATGACGAGCCCTTGCCCAGCGACAACAGCTATGAACCACCTGCGGCAGCGACTATGTCCGAGTGTAGACTACACTTGAGTCTCTATTTTTACATTTTTACCGCAACAGGACTGCTGAATGTACGGACGAGGGACGCGGTTCACATTTTTGTAGGACGTATCTTCTCGTGATAACCACTGTGCGGATCTGCGGGTATGTGTAGAACATAGCAGCATTGGCCGCCGCTTGCTATGTAGTCAGGCAAAGGAGCTAACGACCCGATCTCGGGGCGAAATAAGAAATGCTTGCTTCAGCGGCGGCGGGATTTGTATGTAGTTGTTTGCGTTCAGCTGTAGGATGATATATTGACATCTACCTTCCCAGCAAATAATGGCGAGAGCAGACACACGAGTTCTCCATTCAAGTCGTGCAGACACTCTCTCTCAGTAACCTGAAGATCACTGGTTACAACGAAGGGACTTGCGGGACGTATACATACTGCTGTGGTAGCGGTGGTGGTTCATGTACTACAGGATTGAATTCGGCCTTCACTTCGACGTGATGAATTTCCCCGAACCCTGTGAGCATGCCGCCAAAAAGTGAGAGAAGGTTCGAAGTGGGCGAGGAAGGATTGACACAGGAACAAAAAACAACGTGCGAGCATCGAAGTACGGTGTGGTAAAAAACAGAAATTGGAAGACATGCTTTGAACGTTGATTCCTCGCGCACTTCTCGTGATGGGTTCCGAGCCGCTGGCAAGCCTGTACTTCGTAGCGATAGAATAAAAGCCGGCGTGTCGTAGCTAAAAAAAAGTGCAAGTATTGAACGCCCGCAAACACAAGGTGTCCGCAGGAATGATGCACTACAGGCCTAGCCGGGTATTGTCATATTAACCCTGTCCACCCCCACGGCATCCCCATCACCGACGCTCTCTTCGCCGCTCTTGCGCGCCCCACCCCCGTCCAACACCTCCCCCTCCTTAGCAATTCCGCCACCTTCCCCACCACCACCACCACCACCACAACCCCCGCTACTATCATTATTGCTCGTGGTCTGGCGGCCGTGACTACTTGTTGCGTTAGAGGGAGAAGAACCACTACCGCCGCCGCCGCTGGCGGCGCCGCCGCCCCGGCTGTTTCCCATGGCGGCGTACCAGACGTTGCCCGAGGTGAGCTCCCCGCGCCTCGTCATCTGCTTGGTTCTCTCCCTGGGGAGCACGGACGTCAGACCATCGGCAGCAGCAGCAGCAGCAGCAGCAGCGTTGCCGCCGCTAGCTCCTACAGCAGTACCAGCAGCACCGGGAGCTGGCGGTGGTGTACGAGAGTTAACCTCCCCTTCCTGCTGTTGCTGTTGCCGCTGCCGGGAGCCGCCATCTTCCTCCGCCGCCGCCGCCGCCGCCGCCGCCGCCGCCGCGAAAGCGCTCCCTCGCCCGCCGCTCGTCTGGTGTAGGCGGCACGCCGCGATGTACTCTTCTCGTCGGAGGGGGTCGTACCGGCACGTCTGGCATTTCGTCGTCCATCATCGATGAAAAGTACCGCGAGCAGGAAGGGGGGGGGGGGGGTTGAGGGTCGAAAAAGGAAAGTAACCCAGGGTCAATCTCCCCCCATACGAAAACCCAGTGTGGAGCGGAGTGAGCCCGGTGAAGACGTAGATGAGGTTAGGAAACGAATGTAGTGTACATACCATACCGCGAGTACTGTGTACACGCCATCGTGGTCGACTATGTAGGTTGAATAAAACGTAGGGTCACACAGTCGTGCTTGTCCCCATTTGACGTAATAAAGATCGCCTGATTGTATGACCCAACTTGGTGTCGTCGTTTCAGACAATCGACCACCACCACCACCTCCACCGACAACGGCGGCAACGACCCTTCTTCGGCGTGTCCTCCACTCCATTTCTCTTCGTTGTATGTTGTTACAACCCGAGCAACATCTTACAGGGATGCCGCTCTCCATCCTTCGCTCACCTTGGTCATCGTGATCAGACGCCGGCAGAGTAGCTGCGTCAAGCCCTGCATGCTGTGGTGGGACAGCTCCAGGCAGGGGTGCCGAGGCAGGTCCCTCTGCAGGTCGAACTCCCACGTCGACGCCAAGAGGTAGCACAGCCGCCCGCCGAGCACGAGGGTCTGGGCCGCCACCTGCCGAAAGGGGGAAGAGAGAGAACGAAGACCAATCAAAAAAGTTCAAGGGCGGAAGAAGCCGTACACGCGTGCTTAGGAGGGGGCCACATGAAACTGAGCAGCGAAACGAAGGAGACTCATGTGTCGCCCACGACAAAACTAAGAAAAACACGGAAGAGATACACGCGATGGCCTTCGGGGAAGAAGTGGAATGGTTCTAAAGTGGCACAGCATACCACTCTCCTCGTCCCGAGTACATACAGAGATGTGTTCATGTTGGTGTCAACTTCTCCCGCCTTTTCGGGGATGCATGCACAGCGTCACAGTAAGGAGAGTCTGGAGATTTATATTTATTCTAGCGTTCTTCGTATGGACTTCCAAGCAAAAGAGCAGATTCGGTTCGAATTGGCCAACACGTGAGTGGGCATGGCAGAAACATGGTTGTGCCTCTCTTTTGTTGGATGTATGGGCTAATCAGAGAGAAGCAAAAAAATACAGCCTGCGCGAAGAGAAAGAAAGCCAACCCAACCCAGAAACAAAACACCAGGAGTTGACAAGCGCTTGCAAAAAACAACGCTGGTCTCCCATGCACAGAGGCCAAGATCGAACGGCTTCATGCCGTGGGCGCGTAAGTGTGCTCGAACACAAACATACAGCTGCTGCTGCGGGGGAAAGCGAGCTCTACGTAGACCCTATAGACCTCGCTCACCTCTAGGAGATCGACCAAGACATCTTCCACGGGGTAGTGCTGCGTGTGCGGCATGTGGTCGAACCTCTCCTCCGGCTTGACGGTGCGAGCCTCCCCCTCCCGCCCAGACTTGCGCGCACCAGCCCTGGGTGTCGAAAAAGCACACTCGTTTGTCATATCATGCCACGCCCTTCCGCTTCATGTGGTGCTTCAAATAACCTTCATCCACGCGGTCGGTGTTCGGTACTCGTTTTTTTAGTCATTCGGCGAGATTTTTAGGCTCGCTGGATATCCTGCCCCCACCCCCGCGCGCTCCCCGAAGTCGTCTTCGCAGAAGCCACGGAGCCCCCAGCCAGCCGAGTTGATTGGGCAGCGGGGTGCCAAAAATATTATCTTGGGGGTTGTCGTGATATGTCGGACACTGGACCGGCAACACGGAAGAGTGGGTGTCGAATGATTACTGGGAGCATCATAGAATATGACAAAAACGAAAAAAAAACGCGTGTCCCTCGTCTTTCTTATTGCCGGGTACGATGACCACGGGCGCACGGTTTTGACGCAGACAAATCTCTCGCTCGATCCAGAAAAGCAGCAAAAAAAAAAGGTCCGGGAACGTCAATCTAGCTGGGAGGTGACGCCAAGGGGGAAGGGGGGGGGGGAAAGGTTAGCTCGAACGCAGGACGAGGGGGTGAGACAGATACCGCACCGAACACACGCGTGTGGTCTCCCGTACAGCAGAACAGACACGTACCTGATCCCGTACGGTGGGTCCGTGACGATGCAGTCGTAGAGCTCCATGACGCGAAAGTGTCTTCCGTAGAGCGCGTTGTCCGACCGGACAAGCTCCGGACGTGGCAGCCCATACTTGTCTGGGTAGGCGCGGCCACCACGCGGAGCACGCATCGTGAAAAAGAAGGGAGGGGGGGGGGGGGCAGGGGGGAGAGGTCTTAATCATTTGTTTCATGCCGTAGTTGACCGCGCACTCTATCCCAGACAGGGCATAGTTTCCTCCTAGTCAGAATAGAGACAAACGCAACGCGGCGGGCTCCCAACAGAGTCTGCCACTTGCACGTCGAATACCCGTGCGCTTCCGGCTGTCCAGCGACCAGCCAAGCCTGTGCGAGCGGGTAACTTCTCATATTGTTGAGCAAAAATCTCAATTCGAGGGAGCAACAAAACTGTGTGTGTGTGTTTGTACGTTCATCTCTCCAACACCGTTTGTAAGCGGGTGCTGAGCTGCCCCCGCTTGCTACTACAGCAGTTGCTGCTGCGCGTGGTCTGAACGTGCCAACCCGCAAGCCCGGCGAATCAAGCCCGATCATTTTCGTGCGTGCCATGCGTCGTACCCGTCATCATGGCTCGCGCGTGTGTCTGCCTGCTCACCGAAGTTGGTGAAGACGCTCCTCCCTTTCTTTCCCTTCAGGACGCGAACGTCGATGTCCGTTCCCACGCAGACCCCCCCAAAGTGTGCGCAAGCCTACCAGACGCACACGTGCCGGGGGGTCATGGGGGGGGGGGCGGGGGGGGGGGGCTCCCCAAAACCCCTTTCAAGGGTCGTAAGCCCCCTTGAAAAATCTACCTTAAAAAACCCCCCCCCCCTCCCCCCAA